TAAATCTGATTTTAAGAAAACTTTGAATTATTAAAACATACCTACATCAAATCAACTGGTTTTTATTGTTATGATTTTTAAAATATCAATTTTTATAGAAAGAATCATTCATTTGAAAAGTAATATACTTTTAAAATAATATTTAGATTATAACAATCACCGGTTTTTTTCTCATAAACTAATAAAAAAAATTTCATATTTTTTGAATTTAAAACCTTTTTTACGACTGGATCAAACACATATAATAAAAATAACGAGATTTCGATTTTTTTTTAAAAATTAAACTGCATAAATGAAATAAATGTTTTTTAAATCAATATTTCTAAAAACCATATTTACAAATTGGCTAATTGGCGTCCGGTGATGCCCCGGTATCACACGCAGCAGCCTTTCAGAGAAGACGGTAGGCGTGGCTCACGGACGCCACAGCCAACGACCGTCGTTTGTGGGCTGCGCTACAATTCCGTGGTGGTCTATGCGTATACCTAACCAATCACAGAGAATTATGGGCTGTGTCTGCGCTGCATGTCGACGCAATGCGCAAGGTTGCGCTTTATAAAAGCGTGCGTGGATCGCAAATCGGGCAGTTAGTAACTGCCAGTTACTCGCAGCTCTTCCAAGACGAACAAGCAGTATATATACGAGTACAGTACACTTATTCAAGAAAGTTCACCGAAACATTGGTCATCTTCGGRATGGATATAAAAAAAAGTGACTACTGCCTAATTAATGGATTTCTTCGGTCGTCGGGGAGTTCTTCGAAAACTGTAATTTCTCAGATGCGTCAATCTTGATGGAATTAGGCATGTGAACTTCCAGGCTTGGAGCTGCCTACGGGGACTTTCTCACTGGTCAAAGCCGCATAGAGGTTTTGGATTTCGTAAAGAACAGTTGGAAGAGTGCTCGGCCTTGGAGACTGCCTATACTATGCAGCTATATCACRTGAAGCGACTCGTATAAACCAAAGGAGAGCAACAGAGCAATCCAATCCTCGAACAGCCAAGGATCTTCAGAGTATATGGAACGGCTTGACGCTCAAATAGCCATCAAACTATCACCAATTTCATTTCCAGAATTTGGTGGTGACTATAAACAATGGCTTAACTATATAGGGACAAATTTGAGTCTCTCGTTCACAAAAACAATAACCATCTAACAGCAGTTTAAAAACTGTATAATTATAAGTCCACGCTAAAAAACGATGCAGCACATAAGTTCTTGAATATCTAGAGACGGCAGTGGACATTTACTTACCTGCTTGGGAGCGATTATGTGAGCGATACGACAACCACCGTAAAACCGTCGGAGTTCTCATCGATACACTATGCGGTATGCCATCATCAATGTCGAAAGCRTCATCAGCCGAATTGAGGAATCATCAGAACGGCATTAATAACATTTAAASACCTCAAACTGATGGTTGGAGTATTGGGACGCCCTGATCATTCACCTAATGGGGCATGATACTGGACAACGAATCTCAACGCTTATGGGAAACAAGTCGCACCAGTGCCTCACTTCCATCAGTGGCTGAATATTTAATGTTCATAAATTAGCGGTGGCGCTGCAACTAC